ATAAGAACAAAGAAAAACTGAAGGAACAAAACAGCAGCAGACTCACAGAACCCAGGAATGGACTAACAGTTACCAAAGGGAAAGGGACTGGGGAGGATGGGTGGGAAGGGAGGGAAAAGGGTGGGGAAAAAGAAAGGGGGCATTATGATTAGCATGTCTAATGTGGGGGAGCACGGGGAGGGCTGTGCAAGACAGAGAAGACAAATAGTGATTCTACAGCATCTTACTATGCTGATGGGCAGTGACTGTAATGGGGTATTTGGGGGGGACTTGGTGAAGGAGGGAGCCTAGTAAACATAATGTTCTTCATGTAATTGTATATTAATGATAACAACAAAACAACAACAACAACAACAAAAAACTTACTTTGCTTTCTTGAAAAAAAAAAAGAAAGAAAACATACTAGGGGTTTCTAATGTACAGTGGAGGTTGCCATCCACTGCCTAACTGAAGCGCTGAAAAGCAGAATAACAGTTATCAAATCAAAGAGTTTAGGGTAGATGGCCTTTAAGGTCTTCTTAAATTCCAAAATTTTGCAAAAGCAGCTGGCATCTTCATAATTCTCAATCAGCCTTGGTTGTGGAATTAATTGAGCAAAACCGAAGAGTTGAGCTTGTAATGCTCCCTGGAGTCTGGCTCCCCCTGCAGTCCACTGCTATAATCACAACCCCTTCAGAACCCCCTTTCTGGTAGCCTCACACGCCCCCCTGTGGAGACACCATTCTCTGGTCACATTCACTCAAGAAACACAGTACTTAAGATGGCTCACATCTTAAGTTCTTTTAAAACACTTAATCAAACCACGAAAAAATTATATCTGCGTTCATTAAGTCAACTTCTAAAGACCATGAGATTTCCAAATAGACAATTCTAAGGTCAAATGAGGGATATCAATTTCAGCTTAATGTAAGAAATACTCCTCAGACACCAAAGTATTTTAATAGAGTAAGTTGACTTATCAAATAGCAATTCGCTTGATGCTAGTGCTACACAGGTGAGTACCATCTTTAAGGGATGCTATTCAGTAAGATTCCTAAATTAGAAGGAATTAGGATGATCTCTGAGGCCTCCCACTCCTAAAACTCCATGATTTTAAAGCAAGACAATAAAAGAATGATCTGAGGCAGACGAGTGGTTTCTGAGCTAAGAAAAGATGCTCTGGGGTTCTGATTATTCCCATTTTCACCACTCCCAAAGGGCTTATATTACTAAATGTAAAACAGTCAAAATGAACAGAGGTGTGTCTTGCTAATGGGTTTCAGCCCTGGGCAAGTTCATTCTTGATTCAGTGAGACTGAAAAATGACAATGGAATGTTATTGGGGTGAAAGGGTGTATAACCAACTTTATTCCTGCGGTGGCAGGTCAGGCGCTAGAATCCTGTCCGCCTCAGTGCAAGTCTGCATGCAGCAAGCAGGTCTCTGCCTCTGGGCTTCTCCACCCCGGCAGCCGTCTCAGTCTCTGTCCTCAGCATGGCCACTGCTCCAGCCTCTGCTCTCCACTGGGCGGCACTCTTTATACAGAGTCAATAACAATATATTGCCCACCGTGTGTAATGAGCAAGCCAGCCAGGACCAGGTGAGAATCTTGGCCATGGGAACTTCCATTTTCTCTGTAAGGTGAGTCCTGTTTTAAAGAAAATTCATTATAGCATGTGAAAATGTGAACCTTTCAGGAAGACTAATTAGGAGCTTGACTGCATTGTAAAAGAATGATTGGCTCTGTAAACTCACCTTCGGATAATATTACTTCGAGTATCTCGGTGCTGATTTGTATGTAGGTCACTGCTTAGTCAAGTGCCTCGGTGATTAAAAACTCAACTCTAAAGCACTGATCACTGACCTTTTAAGTTCATTTGGAAATAAAAAAGAAAGGAATATTTGAGATCCCATTAGGAAAACAATATGCTTTAATAACAGGTATTTAAACATTCCATTAGAAAACTTGGAATACCCCAAAATTTTCTGCAAAAACAGCTGTAATTTCTTGAGTGCTGTAATGTGTCAACTACTTCAGAAACACCATTTCATTTAATCTTATAAACCTTGTAAAGCAATATATTATTATCTCCGTTTTATAGGTGAGGAAACCAGGTCTCTGGGAGGTTAAGTAATCTATTCATAAGTATAAATTCAAGTCCAAGTCTTTCTGAGTCTTTCCCTTGTACCAAGTTATCCCAAAGTTTAAAAATGACGATTTGCATATGTGGATAAAGTGAAGGTTCCTATGGCCAGGATTCTCACCTGGCCCTGGTTGGCTAGCTCACTACATTCGTGTGGGCAATACGTCATTATTGATTCTATAGAAAGAGCTCTGCCCGGTGTTCTGGGCGACATGGTGGTATGGCTGCAAGGCTGCAGGAGAGCAGAGATGAGATTGGAGTGGTGGCAGCGCCGAGGACAGAGACTGAGACGGCTGCGGGGGCAGAGGGGCCCAGAGGCAGAGACCGGCCTGCTGCATGCAGAGTGGCTCTGAGTGGATGGGATTCTAGTGACTGACCTGCTACCGTGGGAATAAAATTGGGTATAAACCCTTTCACTCCAAGAACATTCCACTGTCAATTCTTTGGTCTCATTGAATCCATAGTGAACTTGTTTGGGGCTGAAACCCACTGGCAAGACAGCATGTACACCTGTCTGTGTATCCTGTATGTCCTGTCTGTCTCCAGGAGTCAGAAGGTCTGGCAGCCTGTTCCTGCAGACCTGAATGGTGACAAGGCTGGATAGGCCCCCTCCGTTGGGACCTGAGCTCTCTAGGTTGTTCCGGCCCCCACCCCTCCATGCTGTACCCTCACAAAGGGGCTGAATCAGTTATGATTTATCCCTTCACATCCAGCCCTCATTACCTATGTAGTTATATACCTGAAACCAGCTGGCACAAAATTTGCAACCCCCAATTTAGCATCTCTCTTCCACTTCCCTTGGCCCAGTTCAGTGTCCAAACATTGTGGTTCTGTTCATCCCAAAGATATTTTATTCCCATTTCTTAAGGATAGTTGAGCCTAATGTGTGTTCACCTTAAGATTTCTACATAAGAGTGATTATGAAATTCTGATTTCTTGTTTTCTCACATGTTGGGGTGTTTTGCTTCTGTGCTTTATAATAGCCCATCTTGCTTCTATCTCTTCCCACTCTTCAGGGCTAGGTTTGGGGCTGTGGTGCTGGGACTTAATGGGGTGATCCTGAGCTGTGACTGCCCAGCAAACTGGGCCCACACACCTGGGGGTGGACTGGTGAGTCACAGAGGGGAGTGTTGTCAGCTTCTTTCCAGACCAGGAAGAACCGAGTCAGTTATGGTTCAGTGGTTTGGTTCCTAGGAGCCCCCAAAGGTTCCCTGCAGGTTGTCTTCTCCAACCATTCCTTATCCCGTACTGCCTCCCCACACCCCATAATGGAATGGCAATACTCCAACAATATGCTGCAATTTAATTTTATTAGGAAAGGATGATGGGTACTGGAGTGGCACTTTCCGGGTCTGGGGAGGCACTGGGGAGAGGTACAGAGATGCCCAGCAGCTAGAAGGCACAGCTGCTTTCCACAAAGCGGCGACATTTCATGACCCGCAGGTATGTCTCGGCCTTGTGCAGGTCCTTCTTGAAGCAGGAGAGCAGCCCGTAGTTCTTGAGCAGCGCGTCGTCACTGCGCAAGTTGGTGTCAAACTTGTCATAGGTCTGCTTGAGAATCTGCCCAGCCCGGGGGCTGCCATCTTCCAGCTCCTGCAAAAGGCAAGGGGAGGCCCAGTCCTGGTGAGATGCTCCTTCTCCCGCCCCTCCACATTCCCACCCGCCCCACCAGGGCGTGGAGCAATCAAAAGGGGAAACGTGGGGTAAGATTTCTCCGGGGTCAAGGCAGGACCGCCACAAAGAGAGCGGCACCTGGGTCTCCTCCGGACCACGGAGGCCCCCAGCCCTCAGCTAGGCCCTCGGGGCCCCCAGGCCCAGGAGGGCACGGCCCCGGGGAGGGGGAGGGCCCACAACGCCGGCCCCACCCGCATCAGGGCCTGGATGCCCTCCTCCAGGTCCTTCAGCTTCTCGTAGACACGGTCCGAGGTGCCGAACACCAGGCTGTTGGTGAAGACCCGGCTGAGGAACTGCACGGGCCCGAGCCACGACTGGATGAGCAGCAGCGAGAAGCGCAGCAGCTCCACGTCCTGCGGGAGGGCGAGGGCAGTGGGCAAGGCGCCGGGCCTCTGCCCGCAGGTCCCTGCCGCCGAACCGCCGGCCCGCCAGCCCCGCCACCTCTGGGGCAGGCCGCGCCACCCGGCTCCTGCCAAGGGAGGGGGCGATCTTAGAGAGAGGGAGGCTGCTGTCCTTGCCGGGCCGCGGCGGGCACTCACGGATCTCTGCTGGGCCTCGTCCTTGCCCGTGGGCGCCGGGATGGTCTCCGAGAAGCAGAAGGCGGCCTGTGTGTTCTGGATGGAGTATCTCTGTCCTTCCGGGATGTAGGCGCGCTCCTGGGAGAGGAACGCCCGCTCGTCTAAGCTGCTGCACGTTGCTCAGGCTGCTTTATTGGGAAGCCCCTTGAGTTTATGCTCGCCCGCCGGCATCTTCACTTGGATGAAACAACCCTGAACTCCTCGGTTTCCCCCCTTACGTCCTCCCCTGCCCCCTTCCTGCCGCCCCCACCAGCGCCCATTCCGGGGGAGCTTACAAACTCTTTGTAGGTGTCAGCAGCCAGTTGGTGCAGGTGCTGGGCCCGGAGCACAGCATTGGCAAACAGGCTGGACAAGGGCATGGGCGGGAAGGCGCCCACCTCCTGAGGCCAGGGCAGGCAGAGCAGGGCCAGCGCCAGGAGCGCGGAGGTCCCAGAGCCTAGAGAGGGATGGGCAGGGCCAGGGGCTGGGCATCCTGCCAGCCTGCTCCGCATCCTGGGGGCCTTTCCTTTCACCTCCTCCCCGCAGGAACTGAGAACATTTTAAAGGTGGAGCATGACTGGGTGTAGATGTCTATGTGCACATTCAGAAGCCCTGGAGTTCATAGTTAGGGACCCCACATGGACCCTCAGTACACACCACGCCCAGGGAGATTTCAGGGGCGCTTACCTGCAGCCATCACAGCCAGGGGAGCTGTCCACAGGACCCTGAGCAGTTTGGGGAGCTGGGTCCTGGGATCCTGGAATTGGTCCCTTGCAGGCCCTTTTTATACCCCGGCTCTTTTTCTTTCCCCCCTTCCGCTCCCCCCAATTTTCTCTACACATTTATGCATGGGGCCACTGACGGGCCTGTGCTAATGGATAATTTAGAACCTCCTCCCACTCATCTTGTTCCGCTCCTCTCCTGGGGTCAGGTCCCCCAGGCTTGTCATTTTCCCCTCTCCACTGTCACCAGCCCTGAGGGTTGTGCTCACAGGGTCTCAGCTTGAGACACCACCCCATCTGTCCTCTTGTTAAGGGGGAGGTTTGAGTTCCAAGTGCAGTCTGTCAGGGTATCATTGTGGGGCTATGTCAGGCCTCATGTGCCTTGAGAGCTGTGCTGACCTCTTCTTCGCGCTCTCTGCCTTTCTTCCTCCTTGCACTGCTCCCCTCCATCTACTGGAGAAGATGTATGTGTGTTGGGAGAGGGGCCATAGAACAGCAATAGATTCTGGGGTTTCTGGGCACAGTTCAGCCCCAGATTCCAACCTTTGCAGGTATCACCATCCTCTGGCCATCCCACCACTTGGTCCAGCCGGATGCACCTGGGTGCAGTGCTAACACTGACCACTAGAAGGCACCAGCCCCACACATGCCCTTCCCTTTCTCTGAGGTAGGAGCACCCCCAGGTGGATGGGGCAAAGGACCAAAACTTGAGGCATTGTGCTCACTCCTGGCACCTGCTGCAGAGATGCAAACCCAGAAGCACAAATCGTGGCAACAGACACGGGCCACAAGTGCTTCCTCCTGCTGCTCTGTCCCCATCAGAGAATCTCACAGCTGAAAGAGCTCTTGAGGGCTTGTCTGGCCCCCAGCTCTGGAACTCGGGGTACAGCACCCTGAAAGGTGCTCTCAGACACTGTAGTCTCCTCCCAGTCTTCCTTCTCCTCCTTTCAATATTTATATAGAGCTTAACAGGTCGTGACGAGCATGCCTATGCATTCCCACATTTGACCCTCATGCCCATCCTGTGAAAAAGGTATTATCACCCCATTTCACAGAGGAGGAGACTGAGGCTCAGAGAGGCTTACTGGCACAAGCCACCTCAGCCAAGACAGCAGATCTCCAAAGCCTTGCACTTCCTATGTTGCATCATCCCAAGACCTTTCTCCAAAGCAGACTGGGTAGGTGCTGCTCAATTATTTTAACTTCTAAATTCTTCTGAAATACAGGGATCCCGCCCTGCCCTAATCACAAAGGTCCTTTTACCTTGTTTGGTACCTCCCTCAGGGGCAGAATCTTGTCCCTCATTTCCCTGATAAGACTGGCTCAGCGACATGGGGTGCATGTTGGAGACCCCACAACAGGACAGGAAGGCGAGCACCACTGCCTTCCAGCCTCCTGGTGCCCAGGGTAAGGGCTGTTTTAGCATCTGGAGGTCACCAGCATCAAGTCACCCCAGGGATAAAAGCAGGAAAGAATACATTCCCCTCCATTTAAACCTCCCACCATTTGAGTCTAAGAACAGTTAGCACTTGACCCTGTGGGAAAACACACAAATGAAGAAGCAAATCCTACTGAGGTAGTTGGTCATGCTGTTGGCAACCAGCGTTGAAAAGTCACACCCCTGTGGCCCAGAACGTGAGTGCCTATGCCTTGCCACTTCCGCATTTTAGGACCAGAAGATAGAGCTCCTTTCCCCCCATCATTCCTGAGCCATTGCCCAACTGTGCCCCTGATTCGCGATCTTCCAGGGAGGATACTGGGACTTGTGGGGGTTATTTTCCAGGCAGGACTGTGGGAAGGTCAGAGTGGGGTGTCATTAGAGATATAGGAGAGTGGGGCCACAGGGAAGGGAGACACCCTTTTCCCCTCCTTCCAGCTCCACCAAAGAGGGGAAGCCAGGCAGGAAGCAGAGGAGGATCACTGAGCCCCATACAGCCTTCTGCCTCTTAGGGGGTCCTTTCTCCTGTGTCACCAGGAAAGGGGCCCTGGTGTGGAGCCCTTCATGACAGTTTTCTAGCTAATGCTGGGGGGACTTGTATGCACACTGTGGACCATGGAAGAAGCCTCAGACCTCCTCTACGAGTGGGGATACAGGAGTCCAAGTTGGGGACTGCTCAAGAGCCACGCAAAGTGGGCGCAGTGAGGGATGGTTGAGGCTCCCCACAGGCAGGTTGCTGCCTAGAGCAGGTGGGACCAGCCAGGGCAGGGGAGCATTTCCTCTCAACAAACCCGCTGATGCTGACCTCAGGACTAGGTTGGACCACAGGACTCTGGGGACCCCTGGGGATATACCCTTACAAAACCTGCCATAGTGGCAGCCGTCCCACCCAAAGAGGAAAGAACTGGCGGGTGTCAGGTGGCTGCTGGCGACCCTTTTCTCTGGTGGGGACCTTTTCAGGGCCTTGGGTGAGGAGACCACATATATAACTAGAAGATAAACTTTGGATTAGCCTTGGGATTTTCCCTCCAGTGCTGGGGAGTCACTCACCCTTTCTTGGGGCTTCACCTGGGTTCACCACTGGCTCCTCCAGGTTCAGGGATTGCCCAACAATGGCCTCTGCATGGCGGCCAGTGGGCAGGGGCTGTGGTTAGCACCTCCGAGGTCAGCCTCAAAAGGCTAATGACAAATCCACCATCATCTTGGAATCCATGAATTCCAGGGTGTTTGGAAGCCTTCATATCTCCGGATTTGACCATCTCTGGGGTTCTCTGCATCTACTGTGGAATCTCACAGGGTTCTTGATCTGAAAGTGGCCCCTTCCAGGCTTTAGAGCCCCTCTGAAGTTCAAGTCCGTGGGCCCATCTCATGCAGAGTCAAAGGTGCCCTAGTCTGAGGGACAGCCTCAGAAGGACTGAGGACAGCTCCTCCTGCTCCCCCCGTGGCCACGTGAGGCCCACACTTTTCACCGCTGGCTCTGCGCTGCCTTCTTGAGGCTAGAGGCAGGGATTGCCGCCAGGACATCCTCCACTTCCTGTTTGCTTCCAGCCTCAGTCTGAACATGTGATCACTCAGAGTGCTGGATCAAGGCCTTCAGAGAATATGTGGGGACTCCCAAGGGCTTCTGCAGGGGAGGAGACCAACATTTGTGAGTGTCCATGTCACGTCACTGGGTGGCAGGTGGTGTGAGGCCCATTTCGTGCATGGATGCTCAGGCTCAGAGGGATAAAATCTCTCAGCTCCTCAGTGGTGGCCACTCAAGGCCTGGGTCTTCCCACTACACGAGCTCTTCAGAGCCCTCACCCAGGAAAGACAGTGCACTGCTGGCATAGACAGGGCTTTCCTCAGCACAAAGCTAGCAGGGCAGGATCAAGTCCCCCCTCGGGGGATGTTCAGTGAAGCTGGGGGAATTGAACACAAGGAGCTTCAGCCCAGAATGAGATCCACTGCCACAAGAAGAGCGGCAGAACAAACAACCCCGTGTAGCTGGACTTACTGAACCAGGTCACATCCCTTCACATGTGTATTGCACGTTTCAGTGTACATCACGTTTCACTTCCTTTATCTCATTGGACCCTTGGGTTTGCCAGAGGGTTCAAGCATGGAGGCAGGGCCTTGGAGGGCTGGGGGGTGGGGGGAGGGGTTGACAGGGGTGTTGTTCACACTGGTTGAGGGTCTCTGAGCCATCTGGAAGTGCAGAGCAACCTGTATGACTGGACCTATTGAATATTTCCCACCTTGGGGATTATTCCCCAGGGAGACAGTCCCATTGAAAATATGGAGGTTTATCCAGCAGTTGTGCGAACTCTAGGGTGCTTTTCTGATGGGTGCCTCACCTAGAAATCACCTTTGCCTCCTCTTGCCTTATTCTGTGGTTCTTTGTGGACATGTCATGCCCCTCATGGGACTGTATGCCCTTTAAGGCTGGAACCTGCCTTTCATGGAATCATGCATTCACTCATTCTCTTATTTATGCATTAACTGATCAACAAGTGGTTGGTGCTCCTTCCATATGCCAGACATCATACCAGGCAGGTGGGCGCGTCTACATGAACAAAAGACACGATCCTTTCTCTGCTGGAGCTTATGGTCTATGGGAAGAGAGACAATAGCAAATAAATAAGTACGTAATGGTAAAATTTGTAGAGAAATTTCACACTGTGAGAATTGTCATGAAGGAAATAGTCAAGGTAGAGAGGTGACAGAATAGGCCAGGAAGTTGGGGAATTGTCAGTGGGCGCAGTCCCAGGCCCAGGAACTCAACAAGCATCTGCTGAGTGGAATGGATGGAAGGGCAGCGCCAAGAACTCAAATACCCCCCAGCCAGAAATGGTAAGGCAGGCCACAGTGTCTCATCCTCATAGAATGAGTTTAAAATAACAAGCACAGAAAAATAACAATGCACAGCAATACATGCATGAAAAATGTAAGTAAGAGAAGTAGATGAGGCACTATGTGTGTGCTGCTTCCAAGTGCACACAAATGTTCTACATGGACTTAACAACCTACAGAGACTGAGCCCTACATGGGGTCTGCAAAGCGGCCAGCCCTCCCTCTCCTGCCAGGTGAGAGAGTAGTGTTACGTCTGAGAGAAAGGTGACTTTGTTTTTAATTTGAAGATTGCATTAGGGTCTGTCTAAATGTGTTTTTAACAAGCTATACTCAGTGTTCAGGATTTGGTGCTAGTTAACTTTTGTTCTCTGTGGAGTCACGTTTCCAAGTAGAGGCTTTGGGTTTGGAGACAGCGGCTGAGGAGTTCCAAGTTGAAGGTTTGCTGTTATTGTTTTATGTCTGCAACTTAGTCAGTGTCAGGTCCCAAGGGTGCCATGGCCATGAGCAGGGTGGAGAGCCAGGGCATGTCCAGGAATTTCACAGATGGGGCTCTGAACCCAGCTATTGGGGTCGTTTAAAGAGCGCAGAGTCTGTGAGGATGGAATCTGGGAATCCCAAGCCCTGTGTTTACAGATGGCCTTGAGGCCCTTTGCAGAAGACCTGGACACCTGTGAAGGGACAAGTGCTACCTGCCGTGACACCCAAACAGGTGCAGCTTTTGGCATTTTGTTTTGTTTTTCTCTCACCTCCGATTCTGCTGGAAAAACACCCCAGCCCTCAGGCTGGAGCCCAGGCCTAGCACCACCTGCACCAAGAGGCCCGGAAGTCAAGCTAGAACGGAGGAGGAACCAGCCTGTGCTTACCCTAGGGCCCCGAGGGACCAGGCTGGATTCCCCCAGTGGGCAGTGGGGCATGTGCCCACCACGGGGCCTCGGGGCTACATTCTGGGGAGGAGGGCCACAGGCGCCACCCAGAGCTGGACCCCTGGAAGGATGGCCCAGTTCCTAACTTCCCGGGCTATTCTGTCACCTCTACATCTTTGCTATTTCCTTCATAGCCCTTTCCACAGTGTGAAATTTCTGTATGTATTTTACCACTTTGTGTTTATTTATTTGCTATTGTCCCTCTTCCTCATAGACTATACGCTCCAGCAGAGAAAAGATTGTGTCTTTTGTTCATCTCGATATGCCATCTGTGTGGTGCAATGTCTGGCATGTGGAAGGGCATGTGGCATTCAGCCCTACTAAGAAGGGAGAGGAGCCCTCGTAGGGTTGGGACTTGTGAACAGTGGGAAGCCTCTGAGGATGGCCAGTCGTCCCAGGATTCTCTCCTCCCTGCTTCTGCTTTGCCTTCCTCCTCTGTTTCAAAGTCTTGGGGCTGCAAAGTCCTCTGAGGGAGGCGCTGTGGTGGGGTGAAGAGAATGCTGCTTTGGGGACCAGAAGGTCTGTGTGTGACTGTGGCCAATTATAGTAATTTCCCTGGGCCTTCATTCCCTCCTTTGTAAAATGATGGTCATGTTACCCCCTTGCAGGGTTATGCGGGGGCTTAAGCAGATCACATAAGTGATTACAGCGGTGCTCAATAAAGTTTTATTGGCATAGAAGAGGTGCCAACACATAAATATTTTGGGGGCCCAATAAAGGGTTTTGGTTCATGTTCTGTATCCTGATTGTGGTGGTGGTGGTGGTTATACAAATCTGTACATGTACTAAAAATCATTGAACTATACCCCGAAAGAAAACAAAGTCAACTTTACTGTGTGATATATGTTTAAAATATATGGTTCAACTCCCTTGTCTAAGGCAAGTTTTTGTGATTCTCATTTTACAGATAAAGCAACTGAGACATGAGGCTTTTATCATCTCCACAAGCATCACTCAGCTTTGTTTCCTCTTCCTAAGTCAGTTCTGGGGGCCAGAGATCTGTTAGATGTGACAACTCCCATAGGGTAAGCACCTAAAACAGAGAAGCAGCCCAAGGAGGACTTCTACACCATAGCTATGAAGGCAAATGCCTTTGGGGGTGTCTAGGGGAGGAGGCAGGCCTCATTGCTTGATGATTCTCTGCCAACAGCCCTTCAAAACATTAGGGAAACTCAGTTATTCAAAGATATTTGTCTTTCAGTAAAACCAAGGCCTCCCCGAACTCAGGGCAGCCCCAAGCTGGGGGAGACCCTGCTCAGGGGAAGAAGTGAAGACTCCTGCCCACCCCCAGCCCCGCTGCCTAGGGTCCCTGGTGGATGCAGGAGGACAGAATTAGTGCCACTATGCAAAGCAGCAGGAGAGGAAGGGCTCCAGCTCAGTGGAGGCAGATGCCAAAACAAGCCAGTTTCCTCTGGCAGCCCAGAGACCTGGGAGGGAGCAGATCCTGCCTGGCTTGTCCTGCGTGGCTCCCAGTGGGCATCACTGAGCCATGCAGAGATTGTGTGAAACCCCAGGCATGGGTGCTGCAGCCACCTGCCCCACCTGGAGTTCCTCAGGGAAGCTGGTGGAAGCTGGCGCTCCTCATGCTGGTCCCCACACGCTGCCGTCATTCTCCAGTGACCCTGGCAGCTCCTTGAGGGCAGGGATGTCTCCCTCATGAATGGCGCGGAGGTGTTCCAGGGTACCCCCAGGTCAACAGGAAGCAGAGAACAGCCTGGCTTTGCACATGGAGGTTAATTGCACCTAAGCCCCCAGCTGTGAGCTGCTCCCAGTCACTCCTGCAGCTGGCAGGTCTAAATTGTAGGGCCCTAGGGACCATTCTGTGGGGACCTTGGGGCCCTGAAAGGGCCTCTTCTGTGGTGCTGGGAAAGTTTGAAGAGTTCACCTAAGGACCCCCAAACTTTCCTACCGCAAAGCTTCCCTCTTTGGGAATCTCTTACATGGCTCTGGGTAAAAAAAAAAAAAATCTCTTGGTTGGGGGTAGGGGGTGGGGCTGTGTGGTGGGAGGCAGGGGGACCCCTACCTTCAGGGAGCTTCTAGTTTAACTGGAGAGCAAGCCAGCGTGGGCAGCACAAGGCAGTAGCACAAACCAGAGCTGCAGAGGTCAGCCCCAACAGCGCTTGGGCAGGACTGGGGCGCTCTGGGAGGGCTTCTTATAGATGGAGGGCCTTCAAGGACGGTAGAGTGGGATGGGTGGGAAGGGTAAGTTCCTTCAGGGCAGAGACCCCTTCCATACGGAGCAGGGCTCAGGTGCTCCTTGTTGGCTAAAGAGAATCAAGGTGAAGCCGTCCACGCCAGGAAGCAGGAAGGGCCAGCCCAACGAGCCTCTCTCCAGCTGCTCTGGGCCCAGCTAGGATGTGACCATGAGTGCCAACTGGGCCTTCAGAGAGAAGCCAGTGAGCATGGGAGGTCCATGAGCCCAGTGGTGGTCACCCCCTCCCACACCCCCAGGCCCAAGGATGTCCAGACATTGGTGCCAAAACAGATACTCCTACCCACCCCACACCCATAGAGTCACAGCCCGTGTGTGTGGTTTCTCAAGACACATTGTTTATTCCACACGAGAATGGGATCACGGCTGGGAGCCCCCTGGGGCAGGAGAGGATAGGAGAGCTTGGGAATGAGGTGAGGCTCTCTGCAGCCCACCTGCAGCCAAGGAGGGGTGGGGGGTGGGCCCTGGCCCCTCCCAGGCTCTGCAGGAAAGCTGTGTGCTCTGAGTCCGCTTGCAGCTTCCAGGCAAGTCTATGCCTCCCCCATCCAGACCATGGGGCGGATGCCTGCCCAGCACCTCCAGAAGGCTGGGTCCAGTCTATCCCCCGAGGATCCCCCGCTCCAAATCACTGTCCTGTGGCCCTTCCACTCCAGTCTCTTTGGCAAGAGCTGGGGATCAGGGGCTGGAGGGGCAGATGGATCTGGTGGGCCAGCTTCAGAGGCTGATGGGGATCCAGGGAAGAGGGCACGTCTGGGGCGGGGCGGCTCCAAAGCAGTCAATGAGGGCCCGGCAGGGGCACGGGGAGGGCCAGCCCCTCACTCCTGGCCTGGGTGCTCACCCACCGACCACTTCACCTCCCCTGTCCGCAGAGTCACTATGTCCTCATAGGTGGCCGTCTGGTCAATATCCAGGCCCTGGAGACATGGAATGGAGCTCAGGCCTCGGTCACTCCGTGGCCACCCCCAGGCCCTCGGAGCTGCCGGTGTGCCCTGCTCATTACCTCATAGGTGTGATCTTCCTCCATCCCAGCTTTGCTGTCATCCTGGCAGGGTGAGAGATGGAGAGCAGAGTGTTAGCTGCCCCCACCCCATCCACTGCTGGGCCAGACTGGCCTGGGGTGAGGGGTCAGGGATCAGGGGTCAGGGGCCAGGGGTGAGGTGCATTCTGCAAGAACAACTGCATTAATAAAGGAGCCAGTAGGCCGGTGAGGGGCTGGGAGATGGAGACCCTGCCCCTGTCTGGCCTGCCTCATGGTGCCCCACCAGCCCCCACGGTCACCTTGTCCAGCAGCAGGAAGATGGGGACGATGATGAAGAGGGTGATGAGCAGTGTCTGGATCATGATGATGCCATCTTTCAGTGTGTTCCGTCGCTTCAGTTGCTCCAAGGTGCTGAATCCTGGGGGAGGTGGGGTGCAGTGGTGAGGCTGAGGCCCCTCTTTGGGCCTGTACCCCTCAGGACCTGCTGCTTAGCAGCTCCCCTGGGTGCTCGATGACCTTAGCCACCTCCACAGTGTGGACCCTCGCTGGTGTCAGGCTGGGGTGCGGTGGGGTGTGGATGGCTCCATGAGCACTCCGTGGCCCTGTGCATCCCTGCTCCCCCCACTGGCTGGAGGGCAGGCCCCGCACACACCCATGACTCGCAGCTCGGTGCCACAGCCCTGGGTGGGCGACCCCTTCAAGCAGTTCTGCAGGCAGAAGTAGATGCCATTGTCCTGAAACTGGATGCCTCGGATGATGAGGGTAGCGACAGAGCCGTTCTGAGTCCGTTGGATGCGGTCCTCTTTCAGCAGTGGCTTGGGCTCCAAGTCCGTCTCCTGCTTCCGGAGCCAGCTCACGTTGCCGAGGTCATCCGTGTAGCACTTTATTTCCACCATGGAGCCCCGTTTCTTGGCCACGAAACGAGGGTTCTGCCAGATTCGGGAACAAGCGCTTCCTGTGGGCACCAAGGCCAGGATCAAATCCCACTCGGTGACTTCCAGACTGCAAGCCTGCCCATGGGTGGTGCTGACTCCCGAATCAGCCTCCCTTGTCTATCCTTGCTTCTCAAGGTGTGGGACAGTCATAAGGCAGAGATGTGGGAGCTGAGCCGCATGGGAGACCACAGGCCAAAGCACTGGACCCAGCCCCTTCTTAACTGCACGCTTTTCCCGCCATTTGATATTCCTTTAGAAGGGCCCTGGAACTTTCTGATTTATTTCCATGTCTACAACAGCCTGATCCAGGCCTCACCCTCTGGGGCCTGGAGGCCCATAGGCTAGCGTCCCACCTGGCCTGGCGCTCCCACCCCTCCCTGCTCTGGGCTGCCCTACGCCTAAAATGCTTGAGGGCTCTGCTCTGCCCCCAGGGGATAAAGGCCAAATCCTTAGCATGGCCTTTGAGGCCCTGCGCGTCAATCCTTTGCTCCTACCTAGTTATGTGGTCCTGCTCCACTTTTTATTCCTAAACCTTTCTCAGCTTGGCATGCTCTTCCCACCCGCTTGCTCCCTGAAGCCTCCCTTTGACCTTATTCCCAGTGAGTGGCCCCCTAGTGAAACCCCTGAGCCCCTGTCAGAGCCCCCAGGGCTGCAGGTTGCTTGTGGGGGCTGAGCCCGACTCCCAGCTAGACAGACCCAGCCGGAGTTCTCAGTGGGATTCCTTCTGGGCCCCAGTCGTATCCTGCATTTAGCCCAGGCGCTCAGTCGCTGGGCCTGGAGCGCCTAGGTGGGTGGCCCAGGCAACAAGGATGACAGCTGAGCGGGGGCGGGAGTGGGGGTGCTGAAGGAGGCGGAGGGGTGGCGGTCCCGGGTGGGGAGAGTCAGGGAGCTCTGGGGCACCGGGGGAAGCCATGATTGGCATTGGACACAGACACACTTGTCCCCAGAAAGGACAGGGGAAGTCACTGACCTTTGAGGTCCACGTTCTCTGATTTGGCTGCTGGCACCATCTCGTCTGCTGGGAGGGAGGAAGAGGGTGGGGCCTGGTCAGGGCTTCCCCACGGAGCTGGCTGCCCCTCCCCTGCAGGCCCTGGGCCCTTCGCATTCCTAGACCCACTTTCTCTGCCCAGGACGTCAGGTTCAAGACCCCTCAGCCCTCCTCAGCACTCCAGAGAGACAAGGGTGGGGTGGGGTCACCAGGAGGTCCACCCTACAAGCCCCCTACCGCCTTTGACCTGATGGGTGGCCTTGAGCAGGCATCTGGTTGAGACAGAAGGAAGCCTGCCTTCCAGACCACAGACTCTTTCTGGAACATGCGCGACCCAGGGTCTGGTTGGGGGCAGCCTCTCCCGTGTCCTCCCCACGCATGCCCTCGGGAGCTTCTCCTCTCTTCCTCCATGGCCTAGCTCTTCGGAAGTCATAGCCACCAACCTCTCACGCCCAGCTCAGCATGGCACCCTCCAGGCGAGAGAGGGGCTGGGGTTGCAGAACCCTGAGTTCATCAGCATGTTGATACCCACAGACCCAGACCCCCCGGGCAGTCAGAGGGAGACAGGAGGCAGAAAGCGAGAAACGGGAGGAGGGTGGAGAGAGCAGAGGGCAGAACCAGCAGAAAGAGCTGCTGGCAGGGAGGGAAACCAGCAGGCCGCGATGCGGGGGAGCCGTACCTGAAAGCAGCAGCAGTACCACCACCAGCCAGCTGCTGGGCATGGGCGACAGCGCCAGCCCGGCCATGGCCACCGCTCCGCCTCTGACCCCGAGCCGCGCTGACCACGGAGGCTCCTGGGGGGAAAACGTGTAACTGCCTGGGCTGGAGCCTGTGTCCTCCCCACCTCCTCCCCGCCAGGCCCCTTCCTGCCATGCAAATCAAGACCCAGGGGAGGCACCAGCTCTCCCGGGACCCTGGGGGAGGGCGGGCTCTCTTGTCAGCTGTGCTGCTAAGGCTGAAAGATCACCCCAGCTTGGGCGCCGCAGCTGGGGCCCACAGTCATCTTACAGCAGCCTGTGCTCCCCTCCCTGTGCACCCACCCACTGATGGTCATGCCCTGGGCCCACCAGCCTCCCACCCCAGGCTAGATGCACAGGCGTTGAAGTGAATGCACATGGGTCCTACGGGTGCATGTTTGTGTGGCTCCTCTACCCTGGACCAGCCCGCACCTCTCAAGAAGAGGAGCATTGAGGAAGGATGGTCTGGTGGTGCTGGGGGGCAGCCATGGAGGGGCCCAGAGCACAGCCTCTTGGCTGGAGTGAGCAGCCATGCTGGAGGTTGATGGGAATCTGACTCTGTAGGAAGGGAGCCACAGAGGTTCTTGAGTGAGGCCAGGTATGGCGGCCGCTTGGGAGAAGATTTGGTTCTGCAAGAGGCTCCTTTCCTCCCTTGGTGGGAGAGTTTGCCAGGGGTGGACTTGATAGAGACAGCTTAGAGAACACCTGCCACTCAGCAATCAGGGGACTCCCAGGGCACTGACGTGATGTCCATGGCTCCAGGGGTCTTGGGCAGAGGACAGGAGGCTAGTGTGGGGGAGCCTTCAGGTTCTAAAACTAGGGGTTCTCTGGCTTTGTCTCTCAGTCAGCAGTGATAGGTGGAACCATAGCGTTCAGGAGTTTCTCTAAGCTCAATTTTGTGCCCCTGTTCTGGGGTCAGACACAACACTTGCCCCTTTGGGCATGCGTGTGTGGTGCCTGCGGACAGTGCATAACCTGCACACTGCACATGGCAGGCTTGTGTACCTCAGCCCTGCAGCCAAGCCCACTTGGACTTTTCTGTCTCCTTTTTTCTCTCTTGTCCCCTCACTCTCTTTTCCTGACCCCCAGGAGCGGGAGAAAGGTGCTGAATCCTATGTGTCCCCTGCCTACATCTCATTCTCCCTACCACCCTCCATTTTTCAAACAGCTTGTGTTGCCTGTGGGTTGGTTTGGGTTTGGGGAGATGCAGACCGGCAAGGAGGAAGGCAGGGGTCTGGGGACTTACTCCTTGGTCTCGGGTACAGTCCTCACCTGGCACGGCAGGGGCCACGCCTGAGGTGTGTGAGCAGGACTGCAGCTATGGGTGGTGGAGACAGGAGAGTTAAGTTTTCATCCCCAGAACAGCTCGTTCCTGGCCGTCCCAGATGTTCTGCTGTTTCCAGATGTTCCAAATGAAAAAAACATTTCTCTGAAAAGGTGTTAGATGTTCAGTTCACGGAACAAACAGCCCAGGATTGTAAACACCTCCTGAGGTCAGCCTGGGGACCATGAGCCCTACTGTGGGTGGGGGTGGTTGGAGACCCTCTAGAGTGATGGAGAAAATCCAGTGTCTCTTTCTCTAGTCAAGTACCTCCTGGGATGGAGGGCTTGGTCAGCTTTGGGGCTAGTGTCCCCCTAGAGCTGGGAGGCTCCTCGGGGCATACATGTGCATGTACATGCGTCGGCTCACACGGGCGAGTTGCCAGGTTGCATGGTGTGAGGCCTGCTCAAGAACTGCTCCTGGTGCACATGGTGACCGTGGTGGATATGGAAGTTGCGGGGGGCAGTTGGCGTCCAGACTGACACATCCCCATCCCCCATGGGCAGCGATGCAGATGTGACCTTTGGACTTCATTCCCATTCATGCCAGGAGGGTACAGAAGCAGTGTGGCCCCCACCGCCTGCAGGGTTATTTATTCCAGTTGGGGCTGTGCTGTTCCCTCCCTGGTGACAGCAGGACCGAGTTCTGGCTGGGGCTTGTGACGCCTTTTCTTTCCCGGAACAGGAGGGCCTCATAAACCTGCCCCTGCTCTGCCCGGGCCACCCTGAGCCATACACCCTGACATCTGGCAGCTCATGCCCACCTTTCTGAGAAGGCGGCATCGAAACAAGAGAAGGCCGAGAGGGCAAGGGCTCAGGGGCTTGGGAAAGCCAGAGAGCAGGGACCCCCAACAGGCTTCAGAAGGGCGGGAGAGGGCAGGACCTTTACCGGCTCTGCTCGGCTTGCTGCTGTGGGAAGAGGCCTGCCGGCTGAGGACGTGGGTTGTCCGGCCCTGCTGTGTACCAGCCAGAAGGCCTTCCCAAGTTACCTGGTGGTTCTTGATGAGGGGTGGTCCCAGCTCACTCCAGGAGTATTTGGAAAGGTGCCAGGGCCATTGCAATGGTCCCAGTGACCAATGGGCGCCCCTGGCCTGGCCCTCATGGACCTGCAGTGGGAGGGACAGTGTCTCTCAAAGCAGTTTCCCTGCCCCGTGTGCTAGCAGCTACCCAGTTAAACAACACCCATTCTTAGCCTTTCAGAGACCAAGTGTCCTCATTTGTGTAACATAGCGATAACCCTAACAATGCCTTTGCCACGGGGTGGTTGTGAGTGTTGTGGGACATTCTGTATCTGCAGTGCAGTGCGGGGCCCAGTCCGCCCTCAGAGAGAGAGGTGGGGAGCAGCCCTGATAACTGGGGCATGGATGACTTGGAAACAGTAACCTACATTATCTGTTTTTCGCCCATACTTTGCCTTCTTTCTTCTGCCATTCAAGGCTCAGGGGAAGGGCAGGCTGGGGCACCCTGCGAGCTTTCCTGTCCTTGAAGACAGAGGGCCCCAGGCGTGGGTGAAGTGAGACAGAGCTCAGCACCTGGGTCAGGGGCTCAGAGGACGAGGCAGGGATGCTGGACCTCACCCCCCTCCCCACAACAAAGAGGACAGCAAGGTGGGAGGAGCCTCGGGGACAAGACTGAGGCAGGTTGGGGCAGCCTACGGGTGCCCTCCCCAGCCCGCATGGGTGCCATGAACCCTCAGGACCCAGGAGAAGGGGGTACAGAAATCCTGAAAAGGACTAAGTATTTATTAGTTTGGAGGTATTCATACCTGGGTGTCAGAAATGAAGCTGTAGAAAACAAAATTATATATATAAAATTACATTCATCCCCAGGAATTGTGGACCGAGCTCATTATATATTATGCTTTGTCACAGGCCCATGGGACTCCGGGCTCTCTGGGATCAGGGTCCTGGGGGGGATAGTATCTCTGAGGAGGGGGGCACTCTGTGTGTCTCTCAGGTACCTTTGGGCTTCTTGAGGGGCTGGTAAGTGAAGGGGAGTCCAGAGAGGCAGGACTAGGGCCGTAGGCTCTCAACACCTATTTCTTGTGTGCTGTCAGGGGTCAGGAGAGGGAGTGTAGTGCTGCCTATTAGAGGGGGAGGGGCAGGACCCCTGTCCTCATCAGGCCTTTGCACTCCAAGCCCGACTGGGCCACAGAGGGAGTGGGGCCTCAGAGGCTCCCCAAATCTTCCCCACATTGCCCCAGTTCCCACCCTCTTCATGCTTTTGCTGCCCTCAGCCCCTGCTGACAGCCACACTCAGAGACACAAAAGCAAGAAGCCCAGTGTCAGAGGCACTGGCGGGGAGGTTTATTGTAAGAACTGTACAAAGGAGCCGTCTGCCGGCCGGGCTTGAGCCTGTTCCCACCCGGACAATGTGCACATGGGTGTGGTCTGCAGGGGAGGGGCTGCAGGCAGTGGTAGCTCTGCATGGTCTGGTGGAGAATATCTATCCAACAGATGCTGAGGCACTTGGGGCCATGCCAGGCTGAGGCCCGAGGAAAGGCAGTGGGCAGGGTGCTGGGCAGAGGAGGCAGCCCCTGTTGGATGCACCCTCTGAAGGAAGAGAACAGGAGGGGACCTCCTTCCACAGAGGATGCAGGCAGGAGACAGGGTGCCTGACTGGGGCAACAGGGCTGTTTGCCAGAGAACCAGAGGCGGGGAGAAGAGCAGAGGCATGGGGAGTGGGAAGGGGCCCGGGCAGGGCATGAGGAGGCCAGAGAGCAGGGCAGGTGGAAAGGAAGGCTCTGGCCTGGGGGCATGCGCACGCTTGGGCACGCGCGCACACGCACACACACAGACACACATACACGTTGTTTTGGAGGTTTTACTGCTTCCTGAGTTTTAATCAAACTGTTCACAAGAAACAAGAACAAAGAGAAGAGGAACTAAGGTCAACGGGGACTCAACGTGCAAACCTATCCACATGTGTTCACACTCATACACACACTCAGCACAGGCACACCACACGGACAGGTCTGCACAGAAGACACACACACACCGGTTGGACACTACAGGGGCACAATGACACATATCCCAGATACACCCATACGCATGTGCACAGACGGGCATTGTGGGCACGGTGGTTCACATACTTGAACACACACACGGCTACACACAGAGGCATAAAGCAGACACAAAGGCACACACACACAGATGAGTAAGTCCAGAGCTCCTGGGCAGGCCTTTGCCCTCTCCTCCAAGCCCAGTCTCTGCCTGTTCTCTGGGAGCCAGCAGAGGCCTGGCACTGCTGTGCCCAATAGTGGTGCCAATAGAAGGGCTGCCTGGTTTTCCAGGCAGCAGGAAATTAGAAGGCTGGGCCTGAGCCAGGTAAGCTGTGTGTGTCCCAGCATTGAAATCTAACATGGGCTCAACTATAGTGTTCTTAGGATCAGTCTGAGGAGGGGAAAAAAGGACAAGGCAGGAGAAAGAGGTGGGCATGGTGGGGATAAGGGGATCTTTAGGCTTGGTGAGGCTGCAGGGAGCCCAGCTCTGCTAACACAGGACTGACGACAGGAAGGAGGAAATAGGAATCTACTTACTGCATGCCAGGGACCCGACCCCACCCCAGGGGTGACCTCTTGGGCCCAGAAAGTCTCCGCTGCAGTGACCCAGCTGTGGGACCCAGCCTTTGCCACCCAGCCATGATTCCAAGGAAAAGACAATTCCCAGGTGGACTCCTCTCTCTGCTCATCCCCCAGGGGCCAGCCAGGGGAGCTAAGGGGCCGGACAACGGACACACAGGGAAATGGTTTCAGGGACCACTACCCAAGGCTGATATGTCAGGATCCAGGGGC